GTTTAAACGTTCCAATACCAATCATGGCTGATAAAAGAACTATCTTTTATGATAAATTGTGCGACTTATTAAAAGAAAGCAGCAATCGCAGTTTATTTATTGAAGAAGAGCGCTACAAAATATTAGTTCAAGAAGTAAAAGAAGCTCAACTTCTTAAAAAAAATAAACAATCACTATCTTCAAAGCAGTATCGTCGTCTTAAACGATATGACGTTGTAAGAATTGGTAATACCGAAAAATTGACTGAGTGTAGATTGGCAAATAGTACGGATGATTCAAAAACCCGTTATTACTGTAAGGCTGATGAACTGTTTGAAATTTTGGAGCAAACGCATATAAAAGTTGGACATAAAAGAACAAGAGGTAAATAGAAAAAAATTTCGACATCATTTACTTATTAGTGTAGCCAGAACTATGCCAAGGGGTTATACCAGGGAACATTCTTTATGGATATTATTTTGCAGTTTATTTAATTAACTATAATAAGATTTAGTAGCAATTTTTTTTATATACATATTAACATGTATATGTAAATAAATATTCATATTGGTATCGTTTTCTAGAGCTTTACTTGAACAAACTCATTGATCAAACTCATTCCATTCTTTAGATTTTAATTATTTTTAAAAATTTCTCCAATTATCAAAATTACATTTTTATTATATTACTTTTATTTCATTATATAATGTATTAAAAAAAGGGATTAGATGAATAATATTACATTCAGGTAAACTTCTCTCTGCAAGATAGGGTATTATTATTTTGTTTTAAACGCTTAGTCACTTAAACAGAAGGAAACTAAAAAGTATTCATTTTATTTCATATAAAAATAAAAAATTATTTTTTTAATTTGCAGTTATGGAAATTGAACTAAAAAAGAAATACTGTAATTGTACTCGTCAAATTATAAATTTGTATCTAAGCTTGTGTGAATCGTGCCAGTTAAAGAAAAAGATACCTAAAACTGATTTGGTAGTAACACCACCTAATTTAACTAATTACATGAACTATAGATGTCAAGTTGATTTAATCGACATGCAGTCTGAACCAGATGGAAAATATCGATTTATTATGCACTATCAGGATCACTTAACAAAATTCACAATTCTTCGTCCGTTAATGACAAATACCGCCGAAGAAGTGGCTCACCAACTCTTAGATATATTTTGTTTATTTGGTACACCATATATATTACAAAGTGACAATAGTTGTAAATTTGCTAAGAAAATAATTCAAAATTTAGCAAATTTATGGCCAGAAATGAAACTTGCTTATGGAAAACCGCGAGATTTACAAAATCCAGATTTGGTTAAGAATCCAAATCAAGAGATCCATGACATGTTGGTCGCATGGAAAACTGAGAATAATTCTGAAAAATGGTCAAAAGGACTTCCATTTATTCAAAGCAAAAGAAACCGTACTGTTCATTCAGGTATTAAGAAAAGTCCTCATGAGTCAATGTTTGGCGTGCCACAAAAAATGGGACTTGTAGATTTACGTCTTTCCAGTAGTGTATATCATTCCATAGAAACAGAAGAGGAGTTAGAAAAAGTGGTTTCTTCTGTACACAATAATGACAACCAAAAACTTACTCTGAAACCACTCACAGAGTTTGAAAATGTAAAAAATAATGCAGTTATACAATACACAGTAATCAAAACTGAAGATATCGAACAAGATGCGTCAAATACTAATCCACTTTATATTTGTAATGAATTTGTTATTGATACCGATATCAAAACTGAAGAAGTCAAACAGAAATCGCAGAATATCGAGAGAGAAGTTCCTGAGCAATCTTATAGCCATAAGGACTTAATGAATACTAAAAATAACATTATAAAATGTGAAAATGAACCCTCGACTTCGTTAACACTTCATAATACCATAATAAGTTGTCACTGTAAAAGATATTGTATTGATAAGAAATGTAAATGTCTCGCTAAGAACATAAAATGTAATTCTAAGTGTCATAAAAATAGTTCCTGTAAGAATAAATAAGTGTAATATATTTTATTGTATTGCTTAATTGATTAATTAGTCTGAGTTCTATAACTAAATGTTAATATTCTGAGGTTTTCTTCTCAAGTAGTGTTTGTTATGCCACGCATTCGTATTGATAGTTAATTCAGCTGCTATACGGAAGCTGTACGCGAAATAGAATTAATGTGCACTATAAGAAATATTGACGGAAACATGTACGCCAACTGGCTAAACTCAGATAACAATAACTATCCAACTAAAAATTGGCCTACCTCTTGTTAGTGATATTGAAACTTTGATACTAGGCCGATAGTCTAAGTATGACTAATATAATGAAAATATACTTGTTTTGATTTAATTTCGATTTATAACAATATTAAAAAAATTCTGAAAAGTGTCTGAAGTCTGAAAATGGATTACTTCTTGGTCTAAATACGTATAAGTAATCCTTTGAAAATAATATATAATATACGTATGTACATATACATATATTTACAATATAATATTATTATATTAAAGCATTGACTTGATTTAATTTCGAGTAATTACAATATTAAAAGAAATTCTAACATTTTAACATTTATATTTTGGGAAGAGGTGTCTGAAGTTTTTTAATTTATGAATTTACATATATGTATGTATGTATATATGTACATTCTTTTGATGTTTAAAGTCTATTATTGTACAATCTTCAATTAAATTCTAACGGATACGTCATCGTTTAAATACATTTTTTTAGTGTAAAAAATTTACTGTTGTATTATTTCCAATTAAATTCTCAAACTATTCATCATTTTAATAAATTTTTTTGGTGTAGAAATTCTATTATTATATACTCTCCAATTAAATTCCAATCATATCGTCCATTTGGTATATTTATCTACTATTTTTACAACTATTATACGAGTATGTCTACAATATAAAATAAATATTATAAAAAATTTATAATATCTATGGCTACACTAAAAAATTGGTTAAATTCTCTTTAAAGTATACTTTATATACTTGTTTTAATAATATATAATATATGTACATACATACATATGTATGTATTAATAATAATCACGAAAAGTGAAATAGACACAAAACGAAACATAAAGTTATATTATGGTATTATCAATAATTAAATTATTTTTAACAAAACTAGATTTATTAGATTTGCTTAGGGGGAGTTAACAGCTGCGTCATACATTTAGGACCGGAATTAAAATTTCTGGTTGTTCTTTTTTTTTCAAATTGACAACTTTCAGAAGAAATTAACAAAAACAATACAATAAACTTGATTGCAAGTCTGCATACATACCTATATACATATACATATATAAAACATTGTCCGAGAAACTATTAAAAAAGTACAGAAACAGTTTTTAATTTTGATGATTCATCAAATTTAATTTTTTTAAGGTTATTTTTTGCAAACTGGCAAAAAAAAGAAGAAAAATAAATAGAAATACACAAATTGAAAAACAATCACACGGAATAAAATTTACAACATATATTATAGCTATATACTTTATTAATATTACATATAGTATGCATGTACATATATAGTATATACATACATTGTGACCGAAAAGTTTTCGGAAATTCTCATTTAAAATTCGCGCGCTGTATATTTTTCGATATTTTAAGTTTATGTGTTTGGCAGCCACTGTCCTTATTACTTGCCAAAAATCAAAACCGAGCGCGATCTGTCACGACAGTTCGTTCGCAGCTGGAAACCGTTTCACCTCTAGTAGTGCGTTGGCGAAAACAATGGAAAAAAATATTGATCAAAGAGTTTGCATCAAATTTTGTGTTTCGAACGAATTTTCGTGTGCAGAATCGTTGCGAATGCTACAAAAGGCTTATGGGGAATCAGTTTTATCGAAAACTCAAGTTTATGAGTGGTACAAAGCCTTTCAGGACTGTCGTACGACCGTCGAAGACATGCCGCGTTCTGGACGACCTTCGACCTCTACCACCGACGAAAACATTGAAAAGGCAAAGGAAATCGTGTTCCAAAATCCTCATGTGAGTGTTAGAGAGATAGCACGAGAGCTAGGCATCGGTCGTGAGATGGCTCGTTTGATTTTGGTGGACAATTTGTGTATGCGACGTGTCAACGCTCGGCTTTTTCCGATTCACCTCAATTTGTTCCAAAAACACCATCGTGGACAGGTCTCGTTAGACATGCTTGATCG